CAGCAGACACCCTGTGAGGTAGGTGGGGCTGAGAGAGCTCTGACACAAACTGCTCTTTCTCAAGGACAGCTGTGGCAGAGCTTGTGACTGACCCAAGGTCACATCAGCAGGTGCAAGTGGAGGAGTGGGGAATCAAACCCGGTTCTCCCAGATTAGAGTCCGCACACTTAACCACGACACCAAACTGGCTCTCCAGTTTGAGACCATGCAGGAAGGAGCAGAGACTGAAATCCTTCAGCCCTACCTGGCTTTACTAACCCAAGCCCAATTTTCCTGCTGCAGTCAGCATTATAAACAGAAAACAGAATGTGCCCTTTAAAACCCAAGCAGGGATTGAACCCTCTCTCCCCCTTCCCACACATTCCTGATCTGAATTGCAGCTGCATGCATGCACTGATCTACCTTTTGCAGACCAATGGAGGTCTGCAACCAGTGTTCCCTCTAAGCTGAGTTAGTGTGAGCTAGCTCACAGTTTGTTAGCCTCCAGCTCACACATTATTGTCTTCGCTCAGGAAGGATGGCTCCAGAGCAAACTAATTTATGCAGTAACCAAATTGCTTGCTCATAACTTTAATGGCCGTAGCTCACAAAGTAGAATTTTTGCTCACGACGCCACAGCTTAGAGGAAACATTGTCTGCAACCTTTGTTAATTTGTTGGTTCCCCTTACTCTCTACAGCAATTCGCCATCTCCACTGGTCTCTTGTTCAGGGGTGTGCTGAGGACTGCCTTTGTTCGGTTCCTCTCCCAGGCACCAGGATAGGGGAGGGATGGTTGTGAACTGGGAGTTTAAGAACCGGACTGGGTTCCAGGCTTGATCCAGTGGGCCTTTCCAACACCTCTGGGATCTGGACAATTTTCCTGATCTTGCTAAATCCCTGGAGGAAGCCATGATACAAAGCAGAATGCAGAACTAGGGAGAAGAGGTGCCAGCCCTTACCTTTTGATGACATACAACGCGACACCAGTTAACAGCAGGGCAAGCAAAATGGATCCTAAGATAGCAAGAGCAATCTCCCAGGCCTGGAATGAAGCTACCAAAAAATAAAGAGGAAGAAATTGGCATCAATAATCTGTCTGCTTTGACTTCCTATAACCCAGGAGATATTCAGCCTGTTCAAGACTTCTGTGGAACTCAGAAGCTTCTCGCTGTTTGGTGACGTTTTGGCTACACAAATGTTGTCTTTGAACATGTTAAGGACTAGAGATGTAAAATTTCCGGAAATTTTGAAGCTCGGAAAAAAACCCGTTTTTTTCCGGGGGGAAACGGAAATTTTCAGAAAAATTGGAAAACATGCTACATTAGCATTTCTTTTGTCTTTTCTAGTTTGAAAGTCATTCTGTTACTTTAGGAACATCAAATATGACTATGGACATTTTTACTTGGCATGAAATTATCACAACTAGCATATTAAAAATATAGTGTATCCAAACAATTATTACAGAATACCCACCCACATGCAAAAACAAAACTGAAACTTTTTTATTTTCTTCTGACAATCGCACCTCCTAAAGGAAGAAATGCATCTTGTTCTTGCATTGGAGAGTTCAGTTTGTAACCTAGGACTTGCTTGTCCTCAGTGCACAGAAATTACATCAACCATATATATATATTTTAGAAAGGATTTGGAAAATATTTGAACACCTGCTCTTAAAATATTTTATTCATCATGTTAAAATAAAACGTTCCATAATCAATTTTTTTCTTTTCTTTTTTAATTTTTCCAATTTTTCGGGAAAAAACAAAAAGGCTTCAGGAAAAAAACGGAAAAAACCCGTTTCCCCCCAAATTTTTCCGTTTTTTTTCCGGGCCTTCACATCTCTATTAAGGACCAACATGACTATCAGCAATCTCCAGCATCCTGGGGAAATAAACTGGTCAGTAAAGATTACTTTCCTTGGGAAAGATCCAGTAGCGGAGGCTGAGATGTGTACTTGGGGAAAGAAGAGAGCGAAAGGATTTTAACACACAGCGTTTTGTTTTTCATAAAACTGAATTGCAGCATGAAAGTAGAGCCTTACATTACCCAGAATTTAAATCTTAAAATTGCCTTGCTTCCTATAGCACATTAAGGATGATCTGACACACGCAAGTTCAAGGGCAACTTCTCATGAAGCAGCAATATCATTTGGCCATATGGTGGTGGGAACTGTTCTTCAGAGAAGAACAGTCCTTTTGCTAATGGCTGCTACATCCCAAACAACTGCTGGGGGGGGGAAAGACACAGCTCCCTTCAAACTGTGCAGGACCATGTGATCGAATGTGATTAAATGGAGGCGGTCACAAAACATCATTCTAACTCTTCCCCTCTGTTAGTCTGGGAAGTTTTCTGTTATGTACGTGGACCACCACCAGGGATCCGCGGACAGGACAGAGCTTGGATCCTAGAACAAAGGAAACTTCCGATCCTGGATCCCCCAGCCCCAACCAATAGCCACCTTGGCGGGACATTTAAACCCTCCAATGGGAGTGGGGGGGGGTTGCTGGGTGGATATGTATATAGTTGGGCCTGTTGGCCGTTAGAGTTAGTCTTTGTCTGTGTTAAGTACAATAAACGTGTGCTACAGCATGTCGTCGTCCGAGTCCTCCATGCGGCGAACCCAGTACTTTTCATTTTCCATCCACTCACCTTCAGACTGGACTGTCGTGTCTGATGCTGAGCATGACAGACTTGACCTGAGTGGCTTTCCGTCCACCACCAAGAGGCGCGGGCTCCTGGGAAAGTCAGCCTGCCACTTGGTAAGCTGCTGCAGCTGCTTGGAGGACCTGGCCCACAGTTGACCGGAGGGCTTCAGGATGGAGTTGAAACAGGTGAAATTAAGTCCTGCATAAAGACAATGGGGTTAGAGGCCAAGCAGTAAAAAAGATGCAGCATCATATTGGACGCAGAATAAGGGCAAGAAAAGGCCTGCCTAATACATTCATTCTCCCATCACCACCCACAACATAGGAACATGGGAACAGTCCAGCTGGATCACAGCAAAGGTCCATCTCTCCCAGTCTCTACCTGCATCCGGGCAGAATTACACCAGGCAAAGCTTGCTGATTTCAGAGGTTCAGCTGGAGTAACTCTGCACAGGATTGTCCTGGAAGCTCGCTGCCTTAAAGACTGTATTGGAAGCTCGCTGCCTTAAAGACAGAAGTGTGGGATGCAGCGATATCGCATTTACTGCTTTTTGTGCAGAGATAGCTCCCAAGATGGGCAGAGGCCATGGCTCAGCAGCAGGATGCTGTGAACTGGTGTAGCGTGCTGATCCTGTGAACTTAGGCAGAACAGGAGAGGGAAGGCAGGGAGGGTTGCCTCAGTGCATAGTTCTCGTGACCCTTTCTCACACGCCCAGAGAAATGCTGATTGCCACTTCGGGGTCAGAAAGCAGTTTTCTCCAGGCCAGTTTGGTCAGGGATCCTGGGAAGTTTTTTGCCATCTTCTGGGCATGGAGCAGGGATCACTGGGTGTATGTGGGGGTGGGGGTGGTGGAGGCAGTTGTGAATTCCCTCCATTGTGCAGGGGGTTGGACTAGACGACCCTGGAGGTCCCTTCCAACCAGTGTTCCCTCTAAGCTGAGTTAGTGTGAGCTAGCTCACAGTTTTTTAGCCTCTGACTCACAGATTTTTGTCTCAGCTCAGGAGGGATGACTCCAAACAAACTAATTTATGCAGTACCCAAATCACTTGCTCACAACTTTAATGCCAGTAGCTCGCAAAGTAGATTTTTTGCTCACAAGACTCCACAGCTTAGAGGGAACATTGCTTCCAACTCTAGGATTCTATGATCAACCCCAAAGGATCAAGTAGCCAATGATGTAAAAGATCTCTGGCTGAGACCCGGGAGGGCTGCTGCCAATCAGAGCAGACCAGACTGAGCTCAACCAGCCAATGGTCTGATTCAGTATAAGGCAGCTTCATGAAAAAAACAAGCTGCTCGGTACGAATGCAAATCTCGTAGGTCGGTGTTATGCAGGGCTTTTTTGGTAGAAAAAGCCCAGCAGGAACTCATTAGCATAATAGGCCACACCCAACAGCAGAAACTCATTAGCATATCAGGCCACACCCCTGACAACACAGCTCATGAACATATTAGGCCACACCCCCATGTTACCAGAAGTTAGGTCATCCAGCCACACCCACCTTTTGCCTCTTATTCTGTTCACCTTGTTTGTCGTCAAAACTCAGGGCTTTTTTTTTGTAGCAGGAACCCCTTTGCATGTTAGGCCACACACCCCTAATGCAGCCAATCTTAATACGTTTCTGCTGTTGAGTGTGGCCTATTATACTAATGAGTTCCTGCTGGGTGTGGCCAACTTGGGAGCCAGCCGGAACTCCGTTCCTGTGCGTTCCTGCCCAAAAATAGCCCAGGTGTTATGGGTGAGTTTCATACAGACCTTGCAAATAACACGGACAGATGCCACAGGAACAGCTCTCCTCCATGGAGTCTGCCAGCGCCTTTTGGAGACCAGCCAGCATCAAGGGGTTCTGAGGCCACATGGAGCAATCTAGCCAGAGGTGGACAAGGAGTTAGAGACACGTTATGGATTTGGATGACAGAAGGGCTAAGTCTTAAGTCAAGGGGGTCACTGTGTTAGTCTGTCATGGCAAAATAAGGCAAACGTCCAGGGGCCCCTTAAAGACTTAATGACATTTATTTCAATATGAGTGGGCTGTGACTCGTTTGTCTGTAAGGTGCCACTGAACTTTAGCTTTAAAAGGGCTAAGCATATGTTTTGCACAAACCTGTGAAACAGAAAGATAGTCCAATGCCAACTTTTGTGTTCTGTTTTAAGCCACTCTGAGAGAGGGGAGTTTAGGCCAGATTTAAATGTGACAATGGGGAGCCAAGGAGCATTCCTGTGTGATTTTCTACAGAGATTTCGACACAGGGCAAAATTCAAACTCCCACCCTTTCCATGTAGAAAACTAGCATGTTAACAAAAGGGCCCAATTAGAATTCTGCTGGCTTTCTGCTGCACAAAATAACATCTTAAAACATAATCTAAATTAGGAAAATAGATTTATACAGATTTGCTACATTTTATCAATTTCTGGGCAGCTGCTCAAAATCCCTCTAAACCTTCTTTCCATTGTAATAGGGAGGAGAAAGCTTCTCTTACTGGGTGTCTGTAGGCATATTCCAAGAACCACAGAAAGAGACTCCTGGGGACAGCTATTCTCTGAGCCAGGAGTGACTTCTGAGACGGCAAAGGTTGTGCTGCAAGAAGGACAGCGGCTCAAGGAAACTGGCCTGTGAAAGAAAGAAAAGAAATTGTATTAATTAGGACCGCCGCCATGTTCCCCAGCAAACACTTTCAATGCACAATAGTGACAGCAGGGGAATTTCCACCACGCCATACCTGCTAACTTTTCTCATCACTGTTCAAATGTACTTTGCGGCTGCCCTCAATCTAAGTGGGCAAATGCTTTTGTTCTTGTTTACAGCCCGGTCCTGAAGAATTTATCCGGGAGGGGTTTGTTTGTTAGTTTTTGCAACCCGTGAAAAGTTTTCTTGAGAAGTACCCCCTTGGTTTTGGTAACAGACCTATTTCCATGGACTTAAGTGCTATTTCTGTTCACAACGGCGGCTTCGACTCTTAGGGAGCTCACACTGCAAGCCGAACCCAGCAAAATGGAGCACGGTTCAAACGACTACATTTGGATCTGAGTTTGAGATGCACAGATTCCATTCCTTGTGCAAAAGTACTGCAGTACCAGTGCGGGTGTTTAGCTCAACAGGAAGGGGTTCTGACTGGGGCCTAGAGGGGGCCCGACTAGTATGTCTGGGATAGCGGACAGAGTGTCACACTAAGATCTGAGGAAACCAGATCTGAATCCCCTCTCTGTCATGGAAGCTCCCCAGGTGAACTTGTGCCGCTCCCCCCGCCCCATTCTCTCTGCCTAACCTTTCTCACCAAGTTGCTGTTCTGATGGAGGACAGTGGAGGAGAATAATGATGCAGGCCACTTTAGGTCCCCGCTGAAGAGAAGTATTTAAATAAATATAAATATATTTTTGAGCCTCGTTCAGCTTTCTCTCGGCACTGTGTTCAGGCCGCAAGAAGAAGAGAGCAATCATCCCCCAGTTCTCCTTGCATTAAAGTTGTGAGCAAGCAATTTGGCTGCTGCATAAATCAGTTTGCTCTGGAGCTGTCCTTCCTGAGCTAAGACAAAAATGCATGAGCCGGAGGCTAAAAAACTGTGAGCTAGCTCACACTAACTCAGCTTAGAGGGAACACTGGTGGCGGGGTATGTGTGTGCCTTCCTCCAAATCCCAACAAAACCACAGTACTGGTGTTTGAGACCTGGGGCTAAAGATCTGGTCCTCTCAAAAGTCTATGTGTCTGTTAGAAAAAAGAGACGCAAGCCGAAGACAGAGGGAGCTCAAGGCATCCTGTGCAGGAACACCGAGAAGAAGAACAGCTGGGGTGATTTCCAACAAGCGCTGCTCCACGCTCACTCTTCCCTTTTGCCCCGATGGTACGTGTCAATTTCACACAAGCTGCTGCGCGGCCGCATTTTGCCCCGCAGCTTCGTGCGATTTCCCCCGCGTCTACTCAATCCTCAAAAAACAGGACTGAGTAGACGCAGGGGAAATTGCACAAAGCTGCGGGGCAAAATGCGGTCGCGCAGAAGCTTGTGTGAAACTGACACGTACCACCGGGCCAAAGAGAAGAGCGAGCGCGGAGCAGCGCCTGTCACTACCCGAAGGAGTCTCAAATTAGCTTATAATTGCCTTCCTTTTTTTAATAATCACATTCCCTTCCTCTCTCCACAATAGACACCCTGTGAGGTAGGTGGGGCTGAGAGAGCTCTGAGAGAACTGTGACTGACCCAAGGTCACCCAGCTGATTGCATCTGGAGGAGGAGTGGGGAATCAACCCGGTTCTCCCGATCAGAGTCTGCAGCTCTTAACCACTACGCCACACTGGCTCTCAGGACCCTCTGGGAAAACAGAGACATGTTCAACTTAAGCCCATCGGGTTAATTTCTTAACGGTTATTGGCTACTGAAGACTGTGATCTAGTTGAGCAGTCCGGTGAATCCTTGAAAGAAAATCTGATGCAAAAAAGCTCGTAAAAACCCCCAGCACTTCGCTAATGAATGTTTTTTTATAAATACACATGCTCTTCTGTTTGTGATAGTAGTATCCAGGGCTTTTTTTGGAGAAAAAGCCCAGCAGGAACTCATTGGCATAATAGGCCACACCCAACAGCAGAAACTCATTAGCATATTAGGCCACACCCCTGACAGCACGGCTCATTGGCCTATTAGGCCACACCCCCATGTTATCAGAAGTGTGCTCATCCAGCTACACCCACCTTTTGCTTCTTATTCTGTTTACCTTGTTTGTGGTCAAAACCCAGGGCTTTTTTTTTGTAGCAGGAACTCCTTTGCATGTTAGACCACACACCCCTAATGCAGCCAATCCTAATGAGTTTCTGCTGTTGGGCGCGGCCTATTATGCTAATGAGTTCCTGCTGGGCGTGGCCAACTTGGAAGCCAGCCGGAACTCCGTTCCTGTGCGTTCCTGCCCAAAAAGAGCCCTGGCAGTATCACAGCATGGTTGACTCTGGTTTTCATGCTAGTTGGATTTCATCCCAGTTAAATCCCACTGTGCTCCCCCGCACAACAGAAGCCACACCGCCGTTTGCAGGACTCTAGAAGGAAAACCAAGACAACTGACGCTCTCCAATTGGCAGCCCCTACCAAGAGTGCAATAGAAGGGTGTGTGCAATTGTGATCCAGCAGCAAAGCAGAAGACCTTTGTTGCATTCCAAGACACAAGCCCCCTCACCGTTCTCCTGTGCTTGAAACTACGTGGATTGGTCCCAGAAAGCCCAGATGACTTTGGCTGGCACGAGGCTTCAGAGTAAAAGCCACCACATCTTCTAGGCTCTGCCCGGTCGCCAGCGTGCTGTTATGGATTTGCAGTGCATGGCTGGTCACTGCAACAGCATGGAACTGCTGCTGTGCAGAAAGGTTGCTCCAAACAGAGGGTGTGACCAGCTGATCTGTAAAGACAAACAGGACAGCACAAGCGGGAACCCGTGAGAAATTTATGGGAATAGTCTACCAGTTCGAAAGCAAGAAATTGCAAGTAGATAAATAGGTACCACTTTGGTGGGAAGGTAACAGTGTTCCGTGCACCTTGGTGTTTAGTCATGCCGGCCACATGACCACGGAAACGTCTTTGGACAGCGCTGGCTCTTCGGCTTTGAAATGGAGATGAGCACCACAACCCTAGAGTCGGACTCGACTGGCTTTCGAGCAAGGGAACCTTTACCTTTACTAACTCTGTGTTTGAGTCGACGTTCCAGAAAAGGACTTGAAGCACATTGAATGCTTGTCACGTATTACATAGCTGCCACTTCTGTTTGCCTCCTTGGCTTGTAAGTGCATCTGTTGTACGCTCACTTTGTCTCTCTCTTTAGTCACTAGC